ATGAAGATGGCCTTAGACTCGGCGTTTTGGATGAACAACTCAGCGAGTCCTATGAAGATTCCTGGAATTCGGCGAGTTATTCTTCAAACTTGGCAAGTCAGGTCACGAGTTGGACCAATCGTCCCAAGTAATGAGTCAGGCTGACTCAGTGAGTGGGAACAGGGAGTTGATGAGTCAGAGTCGGATTAGACGTAGAAGAACTTGGCGAGTTGCTATATGGACTCGGCGAGTCCAGTCAATCAGAGAGTTGACTTGAACCAAGAAGTTGACTTTGACCAGTCATTTGACCTAAGGGGTATTTATGAGTACCTAATCCATGTTTACGGATTTATAGCCGGAGGGATTACCGGTGCGACAGCCAGGCGTAGGTTGAGCAGGTTTTCAGCAGCTACTCTCGAGGTGAGTTACTTTCTAGTAGCGGTGGGTCTAAGGCCACAATGCCGGCCCACCAGTAGGAGACGTACGATAGATGATTGTCTTTGTCATATCATCTAGGTTTGCTATTACCTGATTTGTTATATGTTAGCATAATATGTGGTATGTGATAGTAGTAGAGTTCGGTTGATAGGACCGAAGGGTAGTCAGACACCCCAGATACGTCTAACAATATGTGATGATATGTTTGCACGTTGGCTGATTACGTTATATGCGATAGAGGTAGTACGAGGGGACCAGTCCCCGAGTTCGGTTGATAGGACCGAAGGGTAGTTCAGGCACCCTAGATATGTCTGATAATATGTTATGTTATGATATATGTGATAGTAGCTGTAGGGGGTGAAATAGTCCCGGGAGATTGGTTGTTAGGGCCGATGTGTAGTCAGCACCCCATAATGGCTTGACATGGGTAGTCAGCACCCCATAATGGCTTGACACGGGTAGGTCGGCACCGCAGAATGGTCATACCGTGTAAGTCGAGAACCCCATAATTGCCCGGCAGCATGTATGATATGTGATTGTAGGGTATATGGTATGATGGGGGAACTCACTAGGCTTCGTGCTTACAGTTTTCGGTTTTGGTTTCAGGTATCTCTTCTTCGAAGGGGAAGGAACTGGCGCGGTAGTGGCACATCATACACACGCTTTGTAATTCGCAATATGAGATCTTCCTGGGGAATCGTACTCTAACATTATTATGCTTTACTAAATTGGTTTCCAGAGATGCACATCTTTTATGAAATGTTATGATCGATGAATGTTTTATTTCTAATGTTTTGGTAAATATGTGTTTTTAAAATGAAATTTTCGGCTCGTATTTTTGGGATGTTACAAGTTGGTATCATATCCCTTGTTTGAGGGATTCAGACACACCTTCGGGGGTGTCTAAACTTAAATCAAGGGATTAAAAGATTTTGAAAAAGAAAAATGTTTTCTCTAAGGTTAAGTAAAGAGTTTTAAGAAGGAACAAAGTGTGTGGTGTGCGCGACCGGCCGAGCTCAAGTATGTATTCCCCAATGTACCCATACAAGTTTATGTATGTTTATCAGTTTAAGTAGAACAACATGCTAGAATAGGACTAAGGATCTAGGAGTGATACCTTATGTGCCTGCTTTATGTACTTCAGGATATGAAAATTGCATGCTAGGATTGAGTAGACAGCAGTAGGATAGCCTGTTTAGGTTATGCCTGATAACATGAGCTTAGCACTGTATGCTAGTACAATTTCCCATTATGAGGATAGAATTGCTTGAGTAGTCTCCAATGTCTGAATGTTGCTTGCTTTGTGCTTTGTGGGACTCTAAGTGATGGGAGTTAGCCATTAGGTGAATGCATCACGTCACATGCGAACATGGTTGAATAATCTCAGAGTGATAGACTTGGCCCTATTGCGCAGCTCTTGTCTGAGTCTAACCGTTGTAGGGACGAGCCTTTTACTTGATGGATTATCTGAGGCTCGCCATATGTGATGGTATTCAGGTGATGGCTAATTGGCATTATAAGGAGGCTTTCAGAAGCTGAGGACTGGATCGAGTATAGTCAGAGAACTCCCTAGGGCAAGCCTAGGATGAGTATAGCAGTGACTAACAGTAGTGTAAGGGATCTGGTGGAGTCAAGGCAGTCCTTGAAGAAGGTACGGATAGATGCGGAAAGTAGTATGGGCCCGTACTAATGGAAGTAGAGGATCCGTACCCAAACCAAGGAAGGCCAAGATAAGACCGGGGAACTTGTGGTAGGGATGATCCCTCCAGAGGTACCAGTATCACTAACGAGTGTTAATTATGTGTTGCAGAATGGTGGTACTACGTCTGAGGCCAACAGCTGGCGGTTAACGAGAGGCATCGGGTTTGGGATCAGGTTCCTAGCCGGTAGATGAGAGGCTACGCGAGTTCATCGCGTCAGAGATCACCAGAGGCATACTTGAGTCAACCCGCATCATCTTCGGGTCGATCAAGGAGGGGATAGTTGAGTTGATGGAGGATCGCCTCAGAGGGTTCAGGAGCGACATGGCATCTGGGCAGTCGGGATCTCGCACACTATCCTTTAAGGACTTCAGGGGTAGTGGTGCGTCGGATTTTCATGGGGCAAAGGACCCCATAGCTGCCAGGCGATGGATTGCAGGCATTTAGTCTGCACAGTTGACTAGCTTCTACCCTGAGGGGTCGAAGGTGAGGTTTGCAGTATGGTGTTTACGAGATCGAGCTAGGGATTAGTGGGAGTCCGTTGGTGACTCGTTGGGAGCCTCGGCTGTCAAGGATATGACCTGGTCGGACTTTGTGACCATGTTCAGGGTAGAGTTTGCACTAGCTATCGAGCTTCAGTAGCTGGCCAGGGAGTTTTTAGATATCAGGCAGACGACGGAGACCGTGGTGGAGATCACTGCCAAGTTCTGGGAGAGGGCATTGTTGGTGCCCCAGTACACGGATGATGAGGATATGAGGAGGACCCGCTATCATGATATGGTACGAGCGGAGCATGTTAGTTTTTCAGCTTTCCCTACCCTGGATTCTATGATTACCAGGGCGAGGGAGAGGGAGATAGATCTAGAGAACATCTAGAAGAGGAAGATAGAGGAGGGATAGACAGGAGGGGCTTCGGGGAAGAAGCCCAAGGGATCAGATGGTAGGCCAGTCAGGACCGAGCTGCTGCAGGAAATGCGGCAGGTCTGATGAGGGGGCATGTAGATGGGGATCGTCGGGCTACTATAAGTGCGGCAAAGCCGAGTATTTCAGCAGGGATTGTACCGCCCCTGCACATGTGATACAGATGTCTCAGTTGCTGTGTTTTCACTGCAACCAGAGGGGCCACAAGAAGGCCAATTGCCCTGAGTTGATAGCATCAGCGCCGGTTAAGGCGCCAACTTCAGCTACACTGCGGATTACAGATGGCCGGCAGGGCAAGGCCGAGGCTCCAGTGGTGAGGAGACGGGCGTTTCGGCTGACTAACGAGGAGGCAGGCGCCGCACCTGATGTGGTAACGGGATCGTTCCATGTGAACGGTATCCCTGTTCAGGTGTTGTTTGACTCGGGTGCTACACAATCGTTTGTTTCTCTTGCGCTTAGCAAGAAATTTACTGAGTCTTCAGGCATGTTGGATTGCCCTTTAGAGGTAGAGATCGTTGATGATCGATCGATGCGGGCATTAGCGGTGTTCATAGATTGTGTTATGAGATTATTTGAGGAGCGTTACTTGGTGGATTTGGTTGCCATTCTGTTGCGTGGGAACAAGGTGATTATAGGCATGGATTGGTTGAGCCCTAATGGGGTGGTGATAGATTGCGCACATCCTCTATTGCGGATCAGGACCCCAAGTGGGGGAGAGTTGGTGATCCACGACGAGAGGCCACAACGTGGACCCACAGTATGTTCAGCAGCGAGAGCCAGACGCTACCTTCAGCAGGGTTGCGTGGGATATATCGCGTATGTTGCGTGGGATATATGTCTGCTCCTCCATTTCCAGGGTTGTTGACAATAGGGTAGTTTCGTCAGAAATGTCCAGTCTTTCCACATCCATAATAGGTGTGGCTTGCCGCAATGTTGTTGCTGTTATTGTTGGTGTTGTTGTTGTAGTTGTGGTTATTGTTGTTGTTGTTTCCCTGCTGCTGGTTCTGGGGAGGATAGGTCCTGCGGCATTTTGACGTGTGACCCTTTCGATTGCAACTGGTACAATGCATCTCTCTACATATTCCATGATGATGGAAACTGCATTTGTCGCATTTTGGAAGACCTCCAACATATGTTCTCCCTAGTGTTGGTGTAGTAGTTGTTATGGAAGCATTGACAACAATAACATGTTGTTTCATCGAGGATCCTTGAGTCGGCTGTCCCTTTTTCTTTCTCCTAGACTTTCCCTTCCCGCTCTTAGGCTTGGGGTTTGGAGTTCCTTAACAATATTTCACTTGTTGGTTTCTATGGTTCTTACTTCGACTGGAGTTGTCGACGTTATTTCCACCTTTGTTGGTGTTGTTTGCATTGAGGTGTGCCATAGTGGCGGTTACGGCAGCTGTTACAACAGCTTGGAATGTAGCATAGTCTATTTGCAGGATTTGTGTCTCACAGGTGGGCTTGTTATTTCTGTGGGATGACATCTTCTTCTGCATGATGATAAGCAGGATCATACGTAACGGTGGTCATTTTCGGCTATACTCTATAAGCTTCGAATTTTTGTCGTAGGATTCACAATGTTTCGCTCTATATCCCTATGATGTATTTATGATCATAGGTAATGCATAAATCTTTCACGAATATTAAGTCGTATTCATAGAGTTCATATGTTATATCGGTTTCAAGGTTCTTGAGTATCTAATGGTTTCGATGGTTTGTTTGTGCACATATGTGAAACCCCATATTAAAACACATAACATTTCCACTAGAAATAGTCATTTTTAATACAGGAAAATTTTCCTGAAGGGCACAATCCATAGGAAAATGTACGATCCAACAGTATTATGACATAATATCAATAGAAACACAATACTAGTAGGAGATACGCCTGATTCTACATAATGTAATACTTATAATAGCAAATAGTAGAGTACGTTTTGTCAGTTACGATGATGATGACAATTAATCGTCAAGCTGACATATCAGAAGTTCAGCCAGTGCATTCACCTCCTGGGTGATTACTTCTTCCCTTTGCTCGGCTTGAACGACTCTAGCTTCGGCCGCAAAGAGTGGACGCTTGACATTGGTTATTTCATTCTCAAGAGAGTGTATGTAGTCTGTATCATTTTCCTGAATCGTGTGTGGTTCTGATAGGGCTTTCAATGGAGGGGGGGGGGGCGGGGGTGAGTTTACTAGATGTCTCCTTAACATCGTTTCCTTCATCTGACTCCTAGTCAGATTCTTCATATTTGTAATCAGTCACTACAAACTCTTCCAGTTCCACTCCAGGTCCCACCTCCTAACCCATTGCAAGGCCTCCTTCAGGGTTTTCTTCAGGATTGTCATCTAGAACAACCTCAATCTCCCCAAAGACTACTAGAGCTTGATATTAAGGGTTGTCTTGTTGTATTCCCGCCATCTCGCCTGCATGGGAGAAGTGTGCGCATTGGGGTGTATAAACTACTATTATTCTTATGATTTTTTAGTTGTTATATAAATTGAGTTGATGTTCTCTTCTTGGTAACAAAGTGTATGTTTTAAGTTTACCGACCTTCGTGTTTTTTCCCTAGGGCATGTGATACTTGTATTCCGGAGGAAATGTAGCTGATCAGGCTACATTCGATCCTAATACAACTTTGAACCGTCCTGGCTTAATCGAGATGTCAGGATCCTCCAATCATCTTCTTTGAATGGTTATTATGTTCACTTTCCTAAGTCACAAAAGTAAGAGTGTTTATTATTATATTTTTATTGGTTTGTTCAGACTTATTTCATCCCTTGCTGGGTTTATAGTTGCGTATCAATGTGTGGTTAGATATGCCAGTTCACTATAAACAGAGTTCTGATACCAACCTGTCACAACACCAAACCAGACGGCGGAAACATCAGGGGGCTTGCGTGACTTAAATTAAAATATCATCACAATGAATATACATGAAACATAACATAAACATCACCATGCATTAATACATTACAACTGATCTTGTTCACATCAAGTACATTGTCTGAATTTTGCACATACCATAGCATAAATTGTTTGAGTGTTTTCAAAATATAACATCCTAATGTTCTTCAGCTTATCTATTACCTGAGAATACAAATTATTTTCAAAACGTCAACATATGGAATGTTGGTGACTTTAGAAGCAGGTTTGATATGAAAATGTTTTTGTGTAGTTCATACAAAAAGTGTGATGATCCATACGTATATGCATGAATGATTTCAAATGGCACATAAATGAGTAGTTTTGCATTATAGTTATTGAAAGCACAAGTGAATAATGTTAATTCCATCGGAAAACCCGCTGTTTTCCGATAAAACAGTATAATCATTTTTTATTATTGTATCGTCGCATCGAATGAATATGAGTACCCCTGATTACTTAGATTGTATTGGATTTTTATGTGAGTCGTTATAACCATGCATGATAATGACTAGTTCGTCTGTCTTGGCATTCTAGTGAACGCCAAAATTGATTTTAAGATTTTGTCACCCTAGATTGGGCGAGTCTAACTGTAGCGAACAGCTTAGGTGTGGCGGAGTCACCCTCGTATAGATTTATACACAAACTCTTGCTCTCCCTCCAGGAGACTTTGATTATAACTACAAACTACGACCGAACTTATTGGTGTCGCCCGTTCTTAGTCACTTAATCCAATTAAATTTGATTAACCTTGATTAACAACATAATTTTTTTTTACTTGAATAGAAGGTAAGCCTAACAGACGAGAAGAAGAGAACCACGAGGTCCAACTAATCACGTATGTTACTCAAGGCGGTCGAGTATACGAAAGGCACACTCGCCTAACTGGCATATGATTTATTTGGACCTTACTAGCCAAACTAATGGACCACTGAGGCCCAAATAGTATGTAAAAGCCATTGAGGGTCCCCTTAAGCGTGTAATTGGGTCACAAAAGGCCCAATAAACATGTATTATTTATGTTAGGCCCAAAAGTCATGTTAATAGGTCATGAAGGCCCAATAAGCATGATTAGAATCTTTCAAGCCCAACCATTTGAATATTTACTTGTTTTGTATAGTATAAAAGTCGGGAGTTATGTTTGAACATGTAACATCCCGGAATATCAAGAGTAGAGTTGAAGTGCTAAAAGTGTAAACTTGAAGGGCAACTCGGCGAGTCCATGGATGGACTTGGCGAGTACGGTCGCGACTTTGGTCGTGTGTCAAGTGGCCTACTCGGCGAGTCCAAAGATGGACTCGGCGAGTAGGTGCTGAGTGGAGAAAACCCTAATTCTTGGGGTTGAGCCCTATATAAAGAACTTAACATCCATTCCCGTAGCCTCTTTACTCATCCTCAATTCGAGAAACCCTTAGCATTCGTGTGTGAGTGGATCAAAGTGCATTTGGGAGCTTGAAGGGTATTTGTTGAAAGAATCTTGGGAGTTTGGAGGCTTGGAGCAAGGGGCTTTTCTTGGATTCGAGTTTCATTGCAGTTGGGGTGTTCTTTTGAGGTAATATCTCGTTCTTGGGCTGTTACTCATATGGATTCATCATTTTGGGGTTTATGGGGAGCTTATCTTGGGATGTTTTGGAGTTTAGAGGTTAGATCTGAGGTTGCTACCTCAGATCTGGAATGGGGAAGGTCTAGAGTGCATTAAAGTCCTTGTGTTTGAGTGCTTAGTGAAGCCATCATGTCCCAAACCCTAGACCTAAAGTGTATAAGGCCTAGATCTCTTTCGATTCACGTAAAGTTTGCCACTTTACGTGATGGATGGGTTGTAGGAGGCTGGATCTATGTTTTGGATCAATTGCATGGCCTGGAATGCTTCTGTATGGATTCACACCGGTGGTACTCGGCGAGTCACATGGGTAGACTCGACGAGTTGCTTGAAGATGAGTTGGAACTTGACGAGTTTGATGAATCACTCAGCGAGTAGGTTGAAGATAGCCTTAGACTCGGCGAGTCTGTTCTTGGACTCGGCGAGTTTGGTCGAAGAGTCCCAATATTTTCTGGTTGAGTCGAGAATCGGTGAGTCAAGGGATGACTCGGTGAGTTGGGTGCGAGTGGACTCAGAGTTGTTGGACTCGGCAAGTCTCGGGGTGACTCAGCGGGTTAAGTCGCGGATTGAGGGAAGTTCTAAGCTTGGGGACTCGGCGAGTCATCGGGTTGACTCAGCGAGTAGAGTCAGTCAGGGGTTGACTTTGACGTTGTCCAAGGGTTGACCAGTTGTCTTCCAGTGGTATTTTGGTAATTAAGGGTATTTATTGAGTTGAGTGTTTTGGTGTTCAGTGGAGGAGTTCGTGTCGGAGTTTAGAGCAGCGGAATCTTATCCTTTCAGCCGACAGTTTCGAGGTGAATTATCCTCACTATATCAACAGGGTCTAAGGCACCAAGGCCGGCCCTTTATCTGATTGAGATCCGGGTATCTGTTGTTATGTTATTGCTTTGATATGTTTGCATCCTGGTAGGTAGGATGGTATTTGCTAGTGACCGGTTAGGTCGGTATCCTGTTAGAGTATGTTGTGTTATGTGATCTGCTAGATCGATTTGACTGAATATGAATTGTTATGTGGTTGTATGTTTATGTGCACTTGGTTGCTTGGAATGGAGTTGGGTTGAGGCGGGTCCTGCTTCGTGCTGTAGGCCAAGATAACCAGGGCGGACCGGTTATTCCGAAGGCCCAACGAGCGGTCCGGATAGGCTGTAGGCCCCACGAGGGCGGACCAGACGTGCTGAGGCTCGGAGAGTAGACCAGGCCGACTGAAGGCCCGGGTGCGGGTGGACCAGTCATACTATAGACTCAGAGAGTGGACTAGGTGGGTTGAAGGCCCGGTACGGGCGGACCAACCACACTGCAGACTCGAAGGACATGATTGGACTTGGAGGGTGGACCAAGTGAACTAAAGGCCCGACAAAACGGATCAGTCTCACAGTAGACCCGATATGCATGGTTGTTCTGTGATTCGTTATGATATAGCAGGTTATGTGTATGGTATATGTGGTTGGTATTTTGGGGGTATCTCACTAAACTTTCATGCTTACAGTTGTGGTTTAATGTTTTTCAGGTTCTTCAGGAGACTGTGGCAAGGCAAAGGCGTGATCGTACCGCTCCTCGTGTTTATGTTTTATGAAATGGACCTGAGAATACTCTGATAATAAATGTATTGAAAATCTTTTTGTAATAACTTAATGAATCGGGTTGTTTTTGAAAAGTTTAAATTTATTTGAAAATTTGGATCGTTATAGAACAATTTTTGAGTCGCGAAGTCACAAGTTTGTCGATGGTTTTATAACGATATTTAGATTTATGGAAATATATGCATATTTTTCATTCTAAATTCATAAGTTCTAATGTTGTATTTTTGACCCAAATATCTTAATAATAAACTAATTGACTCAAAAATATTGGTTTCACCAATCTAGCCCTTCTTTAATAAAAATGATAATTTTATTCCCTTTTTATAAAAAAAATGACATTTTAGGTCCTTAAACTATTTTTCTTGACTTTTTGGTCCAAAGACTTATTTAGATAAGGTTTTCAGCCCAAGATTTAGTTTTTGGAGAGATTTAGCCCCCATTAAATAAAACGTTTGGCACTTGATGTCCAATTTTTAGTAAATTTTACAATTTTAGCCCAAAAGCCAAAACACTTTGTAATTTTAATCCTATTTGATAATTAAGACATTTTTAATCCCTGAAACATGTTTATTTGCGTTTTTAACCCTTGTTTTGAGAAACTTGGAATTTCAGCCCCTGAAAACATAATTTTCACAATTTTTGGGCCTAAAGTCCGAAAAGCCCAAAGTTTTTCCCATTAGGCTAAAATTTAACTTTTAGTGCTTTGAAAGTCAAGATTTTTATACTAACTCATATTTAAACTGATTTTACCTTTATGACCCTGATAAAACCGTAAATGACATCTATTTCTCATCTTTTGCTTATTCGTACAAAAAATGCTTGTTTTGAATTTGTATACTACTTTGGTCTTGATAATAACAAAGATAATATGTCTTAGAACACATATATATATATATATATATATATATATATATATATATATATATATTTATCATGGTTAAGGATCTCGAATAGATCATGATTTTCATGCATATTTATCAAATAAGTTCAAGAAATCACACATATCATGAAAAAACACATATATCTACACATTTTACTTGTATTCTCCCCTATAAACTCACCTTTGCTTGGTATTTTCGGTTTTGAAGAAAAATGGAAGAAAGTGAGGTGATTTTCGGCCCTATCAAGCTCCTTGGAATGAATTTTGCACTTAGATGACTCTAAGGAAGCAAGATCATGGAATGAAGCTATATAAGAAGGTGTTCTTAACCTAATAATTGGAATCAATAACTTAAATACGATA